TGTGGAGAGAATGGTTATGGAAGCTGTGCTGTCAGGAGAGAACCAGAAGATGGAAAGAGTGGGAAGGGAAAAGATTGAAGGTGAAAGGGAGGTTGTTATCAATGGAGCAGGCATTCCACAGAGCACAGGAAAGGGATGAGTGGCTTTAAAGGGGGAGGTTGGTGAGTTAAGGGGGATAGGAATAAGGCAGTGGTCAGTGGGGCAGCCAGAGGTTCGGAGTGACTTCAGTGGGAGTGTGTTAATCACTGGGGAATGAGTTCAGGTCCATTATCAGTACTCTTAGGGGCTTGACCTTAGAGTGGAACCCTTTTAAAGTATTAAGCAGCCAGGCCAGGGGACCAGTGGGTCGGAGCCAATGGAAGGGCAGCCAGGCTAGAAGACCAGTGGAGGGAGCAGGATGCTATGGCATTTCCTTCCAGGAAGGCAGGGACAGGCGAGGTCAGGAGATGGGGGAGGGAGCAGGATAGAGTGGCGTCTTTCTCCGTGCACTTCAGGCCAGCAGGAGGTGGTCTCACAAGATCCTAGCTGGTGCTGGGATAATGTGACAGTCTTCCTCTGTTCATATCACTTAGCATAGTTTTAGCATTTTTGGCCTCTAAGCCAGTCAGTCCAAAAGCCTTTATGAAGCATTTACTGTGTGCCAGGCACTGTGCTAACCAGAAGTTAACAACTGGGGCTCTCTGAAGGAAAAATGTATGCAGTAACAGTTTCTGAAGTCTAGATGATGAGCAAAACAATAAATCCAGCCTTGAGTTGTAAATTCTCACACTGAACGGTCTTTCTTGTGTGGGTCAGAGTTGTTTTCAGTGTGCTCCTGGTGCTAAGCAGCCAGGATGCAAAGACAGGCAAAAACAGCCCCTGCCTTCAAGGAGCTCGTGTTCTAATGGAGAAAACAGCATGTCAATAACTATGTGTATGCCAGATATATGTCTTAAAATGGAAAGTCATCTCTGTGGGCAGGTGCTTGGGGAGGGGTGGTACAGGCCAGAACCAGGGAAGGCATCCTATGGAAGAGGGGATTTGAGAGGAAGCCAAGAAGTCCATCTGGGAGTCAGAGGGGGGAGGCGTTCCAGTCTCGGGGGAGAGCTGTCCCCAAGGCACCCAGGTCAGCCGATGAAGCTGGATTGCAGGAGTCTATGGAGACTGATCAAGTGTGACATTAGAAAGGGAGGAAGGGGTTGTGAAGGGCTTTCTCTGCCAAGCCAAGGGTTTTATATTTGATCCTGGAGGCGACAGGGAGCCCCTGGGGTCTCTTCAGCAAGGGAAGGAGAAAGGAGGAGGGGGTGACGTGTGTCAGATGAGAGAATTGTAGGAAAAAACACTTTGGCAGCTGAGGGGGGATGGACTGGGGTGCAGTCTTGTGTGTGAGGAGTGGCGAGGAGCTGGGCAGCTGGATCTGTTCCCGTGCAGGTCTCAAACAGGCCCAGAAATGTTTTACACGAGCCCTGGTGTAGCCATGCCTCACCCATTCTGTTCTCATGATGTTGATTTTTGGAAGCCAAGTATTAAACTTTGAATTTCTTATTAAACTTTATCTTATTAGATTTGGCCTGTTAAAATCTTCATGGATTCTGACTTTATCCAGCGTATTATTGTAACTCCCTCCCTTTCTCAGTCCAAGCAACTGATGAAAATGTTGACCTTCACAGGCCAAGACAAAATCCCTAGAGACCTCCCTCTAAGTGTACTTCAGCCCATTGTTGGGTACTCCATGGGTCTGGCATTCATCATTTCTGAATCTATCTTCTGTACTACCAAAATCTTTCTGTATTGCCTCCAGCAATATATCATGACAGATACTTTATGGAAATTTAAGGATATTGTATCTTCAGTTTTTCTTGGATGTACTGGTCACATTATCCTGTCACACACACAAAAAAAAATGTCTAGCTTGGCCTGTTCTTTCTAGGGCCATTCTAGCTCTTAGGTTCTGTTTCCTTTTCAAGGTATTCCTCAACCAATGCTTTAATACATTCTAGAATTTTTCCAAAAATCAAAGTCTCTTGTTAAAAAATGGAGATATTTGCCCTTTGTCAGTGCCTGTCATTCTTCATAATCTGTCTCAGGACGTTGCTAGTGACCAGTGATTACATCTCCAGTTCTTCCAGTGTCCTGAAATGCAGTTTTCTGGGTGATTGGAGGTTATTGAGGGCCCTGAAGTACTCTGTTCATCTCACTTATCTTGGGTTCCAAATTCTTGTTAACCATTTTTCTTGTATCCTTTGTTGTCATTTTTTCAAAATAAGAGTTGAGTAACAAAATGAAATGAAAACTCATTCCTGTGTGCCAGGTGCTGTCTTAAGTGCTAGAAATACAAATAGAAGCAAATCAGATTCTACCCTCAAGGAGCTTGTTTTAATGGGAGAAGAAAGAGTTGTAAAACAGGGGAAATGGGGGAGATGAAAACATGGTTTGGAGATGGCTAGGAAGTAGAGTGGTGGTAAGACCAGGTAAGATAAGAAGAAAATTCATTAATCAAAGCCAGGATCCCAAGGGTATGGGTCTGAATTGTGGTGGGAATGGGAGGAGGAGGAGGCCAGGAGGCTTGAACATGGCCAGAAAATTCTCCCTTTTTGCTGTGATTTCTTGTTATCCCATCCCCCCTGAGCAGAGGACCTATGTCTTCTTTGATTCTTTACTTTGAACCTTCAATGTGGCTTTAAAAAAAGAAGAAAGTCCCTTTTTAATCTTTAAGGTTTTTCACCAGCCATAGCTGATTTGACGCTTTAGCACCCAAATACCACTCTTAGAAGACTAAGCCACTCTTTGGTATTCACTCTTCATTCCTTGCCTATGCATCTGTCTTCTATATGGGTCTTTTTAAAAAAAAAATCTGAATTGGTCCACGCATCCACGGTAGTCATTAACTTTTGTCAGTTCTCAAACACTAAATTTTGAAATATCATTATGTACTGGCTTGCAATTCTCCAAGATATTCCCAGGCAAATGGGAATTTAGAGTCCCTTGACACCAGTTTAACAAATTGTTCTGGGCAGCTAGATGTAGGTGGGTGATTGGAAAAATGTCAAGGGTCTGACTAGCTTCCACTGGTCATTGGGCAATTACCAAGGAAAGAATAGTGAAGGAGGAGGGGAAGATGTGGAAGGAGGGCCTTGGGAAGACTGAGTTAGGTCTTTCCCTACAAACTACACATGCTTTTAATCTAAACCAATGTTATCCAGCTTAACCCCTTTTTACTCACATGACCTGACTCCAGTGACTTGGATTGTTTCTAAATTCACCCTTACAAAATAAAGACTGTTCACTATTGAAACTTTTGGGAAAGACTGTGATATTATCTGGTGTTAGAGAAATGTTTTGAGCACTGTCATCTGTAGAATAAGTGTTAGCTTCACACAGTGGCTTCTCTGAAGGACATTAGTCATTGGATATGTAAATTCCAGTTTGTTTATTAAATCACCAGTCTCACTACTTTTGTAGCCATATCTCAGATGATAATCAGTTGACCTTTTTCAGTTAATCTTGGTTATGTATATCCTATTTGATTCAATGGGGCTAAAACATATCCTTTCTTTATAATTTCCTATTCTAACACAGTCACATCCAGATTGGTGTTAATTTGGACATGAGCAGGGCTGAAATGTATTTTTTCACCAGCTAGGGAGAGATTTTTCTAAACAAATGTGAGGTGCACAAGATGATAAGAAAACATGTTTGTAACAAAACAAATGGTTTCCATGCCTCTTTATTGAATTCAGCTTAACTTTTTTTTTTTTTGGCCACCACCTGTGTGCTAAGTTCTAGATATTCAGTGCCCTGCCTGCCAGCAGGTGGGATTCTTTTGGCAGGCATGACTGTTCACTTGAATAGTTGATAGAGCTCTCTATTTCAATGGGTTTGAATAGTCAGTTTTGAATCCTTGAATCCCCAGTCTTCCTAGACAAGTCATCTAGTTTCCCTTAGTCTGTTTCCTCCTCTACAAAATGGGAATAATAACATGCCTAGGTCACAAGAGCTGTTTTGAGGATTAGACGTGATAATGCCTGTGGAATGCTTCCCAGCCTTTGAAGCACTATGTATAAATGCCAGCTTTCATCATTATTATTATCACGTGTGAAATTGGGATAATAATAGCACCTTCCTCACTGGGTTGTTGGGAGAGTAAAATGAGATGGTGTTTGTAAAGTGATTTGCAAGCCTGTTGTAAGCACAGGTGTGAGGCCGTGGGGCAAGGAGCGTAAAGACTGCCTGCTGGCCTAGGGCCTCCTCAGACCCCAAGGACCTTCCTTCTGCTTTTATTCGTGGGTTGCCATTAAGAGGGTCCGAGAGAGCTGAGGGAAGCTGGGCTCACTTGCTCCTCTGCTTTGCTTAGTAAAAAGGTTCTGCATCACATGGAAGACCCCTCCCTCAAGACAAAACCACTCGATGAATGTCAGCTGTTTTTAATTATTACCACTACCACTGGCGTGTCCCACATGTACAAAGATAAGTAAATACATGGTTATTTGAGGAGGGAATAAGCAGTAACAGCTAGGGAGATGAGGATCTGGTACCTGACCTGGGCCTTGGAGGAAGTTGAGGTTTGCGGTAAAGAGGAAGAAGCCACATTAGAGACTGTGTGCATTCACTGAGGGCAGAAAAGGAATGTCCTGTAAGTAGCCTATTGGGGCTGCAGAGGAAAAATGCAGACAGGGCAATAACACGAAATACACTTGAAGAGGTATGTACATGGAATTGATGTGCTGCTATAAATGATCTCATTTCTCCTTATTCATTGGGCCAATTCAGAACTTTAACTTGCTAGCACTTAGCCTGGCTTTTTTCATAAATTAAAAAAAAACAAAAACTCATTTATTTTAAAATATTCAAAAATAAAGACTTTCCTCTAATTCTGCTTGGCCTTCCCCTTGTCCTCTTACTGCTTCCTCCCTGCCCTCTAACCCCCACCTCAGTCAGTTCAAATCAGTACATTTCTTATGGCATCTCCAGGTCAGGATCTCCCCTGAAATCTTAACATGGCTTTTGTTTTCTCTTTTCAGCTTCCTAGTGAAGATCCAGAGATATTCGAGGTTTCATCAAGGTGCTTGTCTGTGTTAGTTCAACTGTACGGAGGAGACAATGCGGAGAGCATGTCTCCAGAAAATATGGACAACTTTGCTGAACTACTGAAGTCCAAGAAGGATCCCAAGGAGCAAAAGCTTCTATTGAGAGTCATAAAAAGGCTGGTAAGTCAAGTGCAGATACTTTAAATGCCTCTGTTTGTGAGCTCAAAGAAACTAACAGTAGCTTTATGTTATAAAATGGAATTTAGTTTAAAATGAGTTTGGAATCACCTGTTTCTCTGATAAGCTTGTCTAGATAGAACACTGGCCTTAAAGTCAGAAGAAATTGGTTCTGATCCCCATCTCAGCACCAGCTCATGCAATACACACAAATCACTTTAGCTCTCTGCTGCCTGAGTTAACCATCTGAAGAATACCTAGAATATTTACAAAATTTACAAATTAAACACTTGAAGATTCTTTTTTTTTGCAGTATTTAACATTTTTACAACAATTAGTAAATATGACTTTCTGTTCATTTCATTAGCATTGTCTGTATGCCATTCATAACAACATGACCACATCAGCCACAGTGAGATTAGGACGCACAGTCAGTTCATTAGCTTTAAAGTGGGGCTTCCTTACGGCTATGCTCTGGTAGGCTGGTCACGTTTCAGCAGGTTACCTGGACAGTTGTGTGGCTAGCTGCCCTCCAGCAGTGTGGGCAGACGGATAGCTTTGACTATGTTTGGAAGTGTGATTTCCAGCACTGCAGTGTATTGCTAGGAAGGAACAGCAGAGGCCAAACGAAGGCCTCCATGAGTGGTGGGATGGCGGGATGTCCCACCCTGAGTGCCACAGAACCCCAGCAGGAACAGCAATGCCAAACGGACTGCAGTCATTGGAGAGAGAGGACAAGGGATTGTAATCCTTCCCCTAAACCTTCTGTTGACTTCCTACTGTGCCTGTATTCTCAGTCACAAGTCTGCCTTCCAAGTCACGCTTGGATTCGTGAATAGCAGCATTTTGATCGTGGCATCTGAGGAAATAGCCCAGTGTACTAGAAAGCGTTGCGGGTTTGAACTCAAAGGAGCTAGGCTTGAATCTGCGGCTTCCTATCTGTGTGACCTTCAATGAGTCACTTCTTCTGGCTTCTCCTCCATTCCCTCTTCTATAAATAAGGATGCTGGATGGCATGATTCCTTCTGGCTCTGAATCTTGTGAGCCAGGGGTAGATCTGGATCTACACATGTATTGCATATGCGTGTGTAGAAGCCAGCAGTTTGGTAAAATGGCATCAGCCATGTGGAAGACTCTAGGGAGCTGTCTTCTAGAGAATTGTGAACACGGGAGCACGCATAGATAGTCTGCATTGGCCCATCTCGTGGTTGGGAGGACACTTTTTCCGTTCACTACACAACAAGAACTTTCAGTGTCTTTAAAACAGAATGAGCCAGCAGCAGATGGGCTTTTGCTACATTCTCGTCTAGGAGGAGAATCTTCATTCACCTACTGGCCAGACTGTAGTGCCTCTTTCTTCCTCCCCACTGAGGTTATGTGGCCCCCAAGAAATCGGTTTGGCTCCTAGTCGTTTTCATTCGTTCTCTTCTAGGTGCAGGGAGTAAAATCACCAGCCTTAGCTCTTTCACAGTCTGGGAGGGCAAGCTACCAAGATCCAGGAGTCTGAGTGTTGCTGTCAGCCCAGCGTCAGTAGTCTAGCATCTCAAGGTCCTTTTTACTATTTAACATAAATAGCTTATACTAAGGAAATTTACTTAAAAGATATTACCAGAACAGAATATAACCATTTCCTCGGACACCTCAGAGACATAATCCCCACCCTACACCGGCTTTGTCTGGTTGGATCATATTTAGGTTCACAGTTTAGCTAAGTTGATGCATAGCAGTGGCCCCACCAAGTTCACATGTGAAACCAGATCCCTGCTCGCTTCTGCAGGACTTGAGTACTTATACCTTGCTTCTCGGAGCATTGATATTAGGATGGCCATGACACCTCACCTAGACTCCTGAATTCCCAGATCTCTGTGGCTTGCAAGCTTAGCCTTTGAACCTCCTTAGAGTCGAAACTCTGGAATTAGGGTTTAGAGTACCTAGAATGGAAAAGAGCAGATGAAAAGACCAAGAACCCAGATCTGTTTCTCAGGGTCTGAGAAGAGCAGAGAAGGAGGCGCTAACCACCTCCCCAGCCCCAATCCTTTACCATACGGTCTCACCATCCATGAGTGAGTGAGTGACCTTGCTTCTCCAAATGGAAATGCATCAAAAGACCCAACTGGGGCTGATCATTTTAAAGACACATATAAATCCAGCTATTTAGCCAATGGAAAAAAAAAGGCTTTTCCCAACCAAGGAGTAAGCCACTGCAGAATATTTATGCGTGCTTCAATATTCATGGTTCTCTTTGAAGCAGCTCCCTAGAGCTTTCCAATGGATTTGTAATGCCATCTTAGCGAACTGATGGTGTCTACACATGCACGAGACACCCATTACACTATGATTTACCTTCCTTCAAACTTCCTTCAAAACTGAGCTTTGCAACCATTTAAACAAAATGGCAGACAAATCCCAGCCAATTCCTAGTGAATTCCATTTGCTAGCCCTAATGATAGAGAAATCCCTCTCTCTCTATTTTTGTTAATAGATATTATTAATTTGGTAGTATGTACTTGTAGTTATCATTTGGTTCACTAACACAGAAATGCATGAGTTTCCTAAATTTTAAGCTAAATATGCAAGGTCATAGCTTGGACGATGCAGCACTGGTATCTCAATAAGGTAAGTTAAGAGTAATCAGGCAGAAAGTAAGAATATCTACCCTCCCAATTCCTGGTGAGCAGTAACAGGAATGCTAAGTAGAATCTGCTTTATGACTAAGTGCACATCCTGTTTTCAATAGTTGCCCAACAAGATCTCAGAATTTGGGACGCAGAATGTAGAAGTGAAGGGTTTAAACTCCACCACTCAGAGCTAAACTCTTTTACACGGACGTGACAAAGTGAAAAATAAAGCCCTTCATTGCTTTGAAAAGACAGGGGTGGAGTGCAGGTGTCAGCATCTTACAGAAGTCATTCCTACAACTCCAAGTTGCACAAGGCTTGAGAAAGAAAGTTGGCACCAGGGGCAGCTAGGTGGTGTAGCGGATAGAGTACAGAGCCTGGAGTCAGGAAGATTCATCTTCCTGAGTTCAAATCTGGCCTTAGATACTTTAGTAGCTGTGTGACCCTGAGAAAGTCACTTTGCCCTCTTTGCCTCAGTTTCCTCATTGGGGCAACTAGGTGGCACAGTGGATAGAGCACTGGCCCTGGAATCAGGAGGACCTGAGTTCAAATCCGGCCTCAGACACATAACACTTAACTAGCTGTGTGACTCTGGGTGTGTCACTCAACCCCAACTGCCTCCCCCCCCCCAAAAAAAGAAAGAAAACGGGCTCCACAAGCCATTACTCCAGCATGTCCAAGCAGGTCCTCCCACCAGGAACACCCTGATCATGAGCAGAGCTAGAAGAACAGGGGGCAGTGACAACAGTATTATAGAGAAAAACAACTTTGAGAAACTTGAGAACTCAGAAGAAGGAGTTGGGGTAGACCCCGGTCCAGAGAACCAGAGACAAAACATGGCATCCACCTCCTGCCAGAGAGGCGATGGGCTGAACATGCAGCATGAGACGCAAGGCGCTGGACCAGAGCGATGAGGGGATCTGTTTTGCTGGAATATACATATGACAAGTTTTCTTTTTCTTTAAAAAAAAATTTAACACACATCAATGAGAAGGAAAGATAATAAATGCTTGTAAAAGCAGGTTTTTTGTTTTGTTTTTATTTTTATATTTGTTTTTTTAAGGAACATGCTTATGGAGAGAGTTAGAGAAAAGTAGTTTACATTCGTTCCTGAGTTAGAAGTTATGCTGGCTTCTTGGAAACTTTAAATGGAGACCAAAGACTTCCTACTCTTTATCTAGGCCTCAGTGGTCCAGGAGGGACTAGTTTTGTTGTCATTGAGTCATTTCAGTCACGTCCAAGTCTTCATGACCCCATTTGGGGTTTTCTGGGCAAAGATACTGGAGTACTTTTGCCATTTCCTTCTCCAGCTCATTTTACAGATGAGGACACTGAGGCAAACAGAGATAAGTGACTTGCCCAGGATCACACAGCTAGTAAATGTCTACGGTCAGGTCTGAACTCAGAAAAATGAGTCTTCCGGACGGTAGGCCTGGTACTCTACCTGCTGCACCACCTAGCTGCCCCAGGAGGGGTGAGGCTTGATTAGTAATTACAGTTAATGTCATTTTAAAAAGACCACTTCAGGTTAAGGTGGTAAAGACTCCTTGACTTGTTGGCCTTGTGTTTAACCACAGAAAGTGGTGAATTCCTCCTGTTAACGTCTCAAGTCTCTTCCCCCCAAAAAAGAAATTTCAGACACTGCATTTTTTTTTTGCTGATAATTACAAAGAAAATCTATGTCTTCTAGCCCTGATCATTAATATGAGAAAGATGTGTTTTATATAATATCCTTGGCTACCCTTGTGCCCTAACCTTACTAACAAGTTTGGCGTAAGAGAAAGGGTTCAGCTAATTGCTGTATATTCTGCGTTTAAAAATATAGCAGAGTGTTTGTTAGTGATCTCTAAGTTTCCCCCAGAACCTAGACACAAAACCTTTTGTCATTAATGTGCATTTTCCCCAGTAACAATGGGCAGGATCAGGTGTTTAATTAGAAGTAGCTGCCCCACAGCCTGATGATGATTCTGTCTGGGTCTTCCTTTGTTTTGGGCTTGAACATCTGCATCCTAGGGAGCATTTCTATCAAGCTAAAGAAGTGCTTCATGGGAAACGGATTCAAATATGGAATCATCATGAAGAAGAATCACACGACCTCTTTGGCCAGTGTCAGTGAGAGGTCACCGATGTGGATGAGCTTCCATTCCTCTGCCTTAAAGGCTAAGACAGGATTGGAGTGGGAGCCATTGTCTGGAAGGAGCAGATTAATGTTAAAGATTTGTCTGTGATATCCAGACGCTCCATGTCATATAGCTTTAGACTGTCAGGAGATCTCACCACACCTTTCAGTTCTCCTTAAGGCATTCCAACTTGACTTTTTCCCCTAGAGGAAGAATGCCTAAATGGAGCATGTCTTCACCTGTTTTCAGGGTAGAAAGCCTGTAA